GGTACAGAGAGTGGGTGAGGGGGCCCCCATACTGCAGGAGCCAGCCCAGGTGTGTGTGACCCCCCCACCATGTCACCGTGGGGTGACACATGTGATCCCCAACCTACATCCCTGGGGAGGTCTGGTGCCAGCAGGGTCACCTCATGAGGTGTGGGCACCCCAGAGAGGGGCAAGGGGTCCACTGGGGGGTCTGGGGGTCTCACAGGAGGTTGGGGGCACCCTGTGGGCCTGGGGACCCCCAACAAGGTGGGACACACAAATAGGAGGATAACGGGTACCCAGTGGGTCCCAGGCATCCCACAAGCAGAATGACATTCACCCCACAGGTCCTGACCACCCCACAGCAGGCTGGTGGGACACCCCACAGGTCCTGACCACCCCACAAGAAGCTGATGGGCACCCCATGGGTCCTGACCACCCCACAAAAAGCTGATAGGACACCCCATGGGTCCTGACCACGCCACAAGAAGCTGATGGGCACCCCATGGATCCTGGACACTCCACAGCAGGCTGACAGGAACCCCATAGGTCCTGACCACCCCATAGCAGGCTGATGTGCACATCATATGTCCTGGACACACCACAGAAGGCTGACAGGCACCCCATGGGTCCTGGCCAACATGCTGTGGGACAAGGGGCACCAAAGGGATCCCAGCCACCCCACCCAGCAGGACTCCAGGCACCCCAAGACTCCCAGCCACCCCACAGCAGAACAACAGCCACCCCGTGGGTCTGAGGCATCCGCAGCAGGACACCGGGTATAGGCTGAGTCCCAGGCACCCCTAGCAGCGTAGGGCAGGGTGCCAGGTGGGTGGGTGCCCCCTCACCATCTGTGCCCGCAGGTACATCTGTGCCTGGCTGGCGGTGAGGGCGGGCGAGGCGGCGTTTCCCAGCAGCACTGCCTGCTGAGCCATCCCCGCCGCGCCCGGCCCCCCGCTCTGCGCACGGTTCACCAGCTGCGCGGCCGCCGGAGACGTCGCCAGGTTGATCTGCCAGGGAAAGGGTGGGAGAGGGTCAGGGTAGCTCAAGGAGAAAGGCTCTCCTGCTGGAGGGCAGGGAGTTCCACCTCAACTTCTTTCCTGTGAGGGTGACAGAGCCCTGGGACAGGCTGCCCAGAGAGGCTGTGGAGTCTCCTTCTCTGGAGACTTTCCAGCCCTGTCTGGATGCCTTTCTGAGTGACCTGCCCTGGTTTGGGTCCTGCTCTGGCAGGGGGGTTGGACTCAACGGTCTTCAGAGGTGCCTTCCAACCCTTAATATTATGTGATTCTGTGAAGGCTCCAGGGAGACATCAGAGCACCTTCCAGTGCCTGAAGGGGCTCCAGGAAAGCTGGGGAGGGACTTGGGACAAGGGCAGGGAGGGATGGGATGAAAGGAAACATCTTTAAACTGGAAGAGGGGAGATTCAGGCTGGACATGAAGAGGAAATTCTTTGCTGAGAGGGTGGGGAGACCCTGGCCCAGGTTGCCCAGGGAAGCTGTGGCTGCCCCATCCCTGGCAGTGCTGAAGGGCAGGTTGGATGGGGCTTGGAGCAGCCTGGGCTGGTGGGAGGTGTCCCTGCCCATGCAGGAGTTGGGATCTCGATGACATTTAAGGTCCCTTCTAATCCAAACCATTCCTGACTCACCGTGGGCTGCTGGGCAGGTGCTGGCTGGGCGCTGGTGCCCCCCGAAGAGCTGCTCTGCCTGTTCGCCGCCAGGCTGGCCTGGAGGGGCAGGAAGAAAGCCAACAAGGTCGGCAGGGTGCAGCAGGGTAGCACCTAAGGGTGCCCCCGGGAGGTGCCCCCGTACCTGCTGGACGGCAGCCAGGCTCTGGAGCTGGGCACTGGTGAGGTGCTGCTGCTGCA